ACCCTGATGCTGGGAAAGATTGAAGGTCAAAGAAGACGGGGACGGCAAAGGATGAGATGGTTAGACAGTGTCATAGATGCAACGAACATCAGAGGACGGCAGAAGACAGGAAGGCCTGGCGTGATCTGGTCCACGGGGTCGCAAAGAGTCGGACTCGACTGTGCGACTGAACAACAACCAAACTTGTTTGGTGTTTCAAATTATAAGATAGTCAAGAATGTGTGCCTTTTTCAAGTGAGACTGCTTGTGAGTTGTTAATTTTGGTTGAGATATCTTTATGGACTCCCTGTCATTGCTCTTCCTTAATTATCTATGTAGCAATAAAGCAAAGTTAGAGTCCAGTGGGGCACCTTTAAGACCAAAAAAGTTTTATTCAAGGTGTGAGCTTTCGCGTGCACGCACACTTTGTCAGACAATGAAATGGAATTACATATCATAGCTGTATATATAGAGGTGGCTTGTTAAATTAGCATGCTGAAGATGTTTTTTTAAAAAAAAGAATGACAAGCTTGGTTTCTGGTTATCATCTGCTTGGGTTCAAGGGGGGGGGGGAGAAACAACTTAGGTAATAAATATGTCAGAACTGCAAACTGAAGCTATTTGGAGTCAGAGGATTAGTGCCTCTAAATATGGAGGGTTCCCCTCAGTCGCCATGGCTAGTAGCCATTGATAGACTAATCCTCTATGAATCTATCTGATCCCCTTTGGAAGCGGTTTATTCCTGTGGCCATCACTACATCCTCTGGCAGTGAATTCTACATTTTAATCACCCTCTGTGCAAAGTGGTGTTTCCTTTTGTCCTTCCTGAACCTCCTGCCCATCAGCTTCATGGGATGCCTTCGAGTTCTAGTATTTTGGGAGAGGGAGAAAAAGTTCTCTTTGTCAACTCCAGCCCATGCATAATTTTATAAATATCTCTCATGTACCCCCCCAGTCGTCTCTTTTCTAAACTGAAAAGTCCCAGACTCATGTTAGCAAAAGAACACAAATGCACCATGAGGAGTAGTGCATGCGAAAGAGATCTTGGGGTAAGGATCTAAACTAAATATGAGCCTGTAAACTAAATATGAGCCGTCAGTGTGATGCGGTGGCAAAAAAGGCAAATCCAGTCTTGGGTTGTATTAAAAGGGCCATAGCATCGAAATCGCAGGAGGTCATAGCCCCTCTGTGTACTGACTTGGTCAGGCCGCACCTGGAGTATTGTGTGTGCAGTTCTGGAGGCCTCACTTCAAAAAGGACGTGGGCAAAATCGAGAGGGTGCAAAAGAGAGCGACGAGGATGATCAGGGGTCTGGAGACTGAGCCCTACGAGGAAAGGCTGAGGGCCTTGGGGATGTTTAGTTTGGAGAAGAAGAGACTGAGGGGGGACATGATGGCTCTCTTAAAATATTTGAAAGGCTGTCATTTGGAGGAGGGCAAGGAGCTTGTTCCAGTTGGCAGCAGAGAAGAGGACCCGAAGCAACAGGTTTAAATTACATACAGAAAGGTATTGGCTGGATATTAGAAAAAAAAAAATTCATGGTCAGAGTGGTTCAAAGGTGGAAACCGCTGCCCAGGGAGGTGGTGAGCTCCCCTTCACTGGCAGCTTTCAAGAAGAGGCTGGACAAATATTTGTGAGAGATGCTCTAGGCTGGCCCTGCATTGGGCAGGGGGTTGGACTAGAAGGTCTGTATGGCCCCTTCCCACTCTAGGATTTTGTGATTCTGTGTACAAGCCTGGACTGTGTACATGCCTCCCACCTCACAATTAGCCCATGAACACATGAAGCTGCCAGACCCTTGGTCCTTTGAGGTCAGTATTGTCTACTCAGACTGGCAGGGGCTGTTCTGGGTCTCCGGTAGAAAAAGGTGTTTCACATCACCTGCTATGAGATCCTTTAAGCTGGAGATGCCGGGGATTGAACCTGGGACCTTCTGCAGGCCAAGCAGAGGCTGTCACACTGAGCCGTGGTCCTTCTCTCTGTCTCTCCATCAATCTTACACGATGGATTTACAAAGCAAGAGCCCTGACAACTACAGATATAGAGACGACGTTTTCATACATGGGCCAGGAAGTTTTCGACAAAAATCTATGGCCTCGAAAAGTTTTCCACCTGTCATCATCACTGCTGAGACGTTTTGTCCTTTTGATTGTGCAAAGAAGACGGCGCTGCCATGAAATGTTGCCGCCGTCTAGACTGTGCTTGGAGGGGACATTCGTCATGATGCCGTAAGAAGTCAGCAAAAGCAAATGTCTCCTGAGGAGATGTTTTTGGCATTCCTTTTTCAGCAGGTTGGGGAATGTCTGTCAACAGGCACAAGTGTTGTTACGGTTGTATTTTAGTTGAGGATAATATTTTGAGGTTAGTAATAAGCTGAGCTTTGGGTATCCAGGTGAGTTTTTCTTTAGGCTGATGCGGTTTCTAGAACGGTGCGTCTCCCAGCATCGCAGACAGGCTAAATGGCACAGGTGTCAGGTGGAACGGCCTCGTCGCCCCGCCTGTCTTCTTTCGACTTGGCATCGTTCCCGGAATCGGATACGCTTTCCTTTAGAAGCGTGTTGGGTTCTTTCGTGTCGATGCAGGGCTAGTTAGATAAGTTCTGGGGTTGGTTGCCGGTGTATGAATTAGGCATTGCGAAGCCGTTTGCTGGAAGGAGGAAGGAAAGTGGCCCGGAGAAGCCAGCAAGGACCGAGATGAAGGAATACGTCCTGGTTCCAGCTGCCGAGCAAGACAGTTCCTACGACTACAATCCGGCGTGGGAACCGGGTCCCTGTGTGGGTCTTGGTAGGTGGCGTCTTCAGAGCCCCCTTTAATTTTGGCGTTGAGAACCAAGTGGGCGCGTAAGCTCTTCCCCTTTTAATGGCTCCAGTGCATTCAGTGCAACATTTTGAAAACCTGTTGGATTGCTCCTTATTTTAAAAGAGTTGGTTTTAGTGAGAAGGCAAGAAGAGGTGTCAGGATCTCCTCTCCCTGCCAGCTGTTGGTTTTACAACAGCTGTGGAGTCATGATTTCTGCTTATTGCCTTAAAAACGACTCGCTGGGTACATCCCCTTCAGCTGCACTTAAGCACTTGCTGTGTGGAGCAGGTGCTGCCATGTACCCCATTAATGTGCTTGTGCCTCTGTCTGACTTGGACCTCGGTGCCTCTTTAGCTGGCTGGCTTATAAAGGCCTTTTTGGTTTGATGCAGATACTAATCACTCTGCTGATATATACTCTGCTGAGACCCTGGAAATCTGAGCGTTTGGAATTAGGCTTTGTGTAATCCATGCTCTGTAGATCATTATATGCAAAGGAGAGAGAGAGAGAGAGAGAGAGGCATTATATATGGAAAAGCAAATGTTAACAGTTCTGGAATTCTCTTGGGGGGGGGGATCTCTGGACAACAGGAAAGAAGCTTGCACCAGGGGCGTTTTTTAGGGCTGTCTATACGCTAAATGAATTCTGAGTTGTCTTGTTCATTGCAGGGGTTCTTTTCCCCATCCACTCCCAAGTGCATTCGCTTCCTGAAAATTAAGGGATAATTCATAAAGATATCTGTGTCAAGAATTGGGAGTTTATAAGTTCTTGAAGCGCTTATATCTTTGAGCCACGCACCCCTAATTCTACTGTTCTCGGGAAAATTCACCCATGTTCGGATTGGTAGGCGGCTGAAGCAGTTTGGATGAATTGTCCAAATATTTCTCCAGACTTTGGTTTCCAGGGAAGGATTCTTCAGTTAAGTTAGGTTAATTCAGTTAGGTTAACCCATATTTTTTCCTGCTGTTGAATAGGGCATGCCTTGCATTTTGAACAGGGTCCCAGGATTTTTAGTATGAATATCCCACGGGTATGTTTAGCCTGGAGAGGAGATGACTGAGAGGTGATATAATCACCATCCTCAAGTACTTGAAGGGCTGTCATATAGAGGATGGTGCAGAGTTGTTTTCTGTTGCCCCAGAAGGTTGGACCAGAACCAACGGGTTGAAATTGAATCACAAGAGTTTTCGGCTAAACGTTAGGAAGAATTTCCTTTTTTGCGGTTCCTCAGTGGAACAGGCTTCCTCGGTAGGTGGTGGGCTCTCCTTCTTTGGAGGTTTCCAAGGAGAGGCTAGATGGCCCCATCTGACAGCAGTGCTGATTGTGTGACCTTAGGCAAATCATGAGAGGGAGGGAAGGAAGGGTTGCCTCAGTGCTTAGTTCTCGTGGCCCTTTCTTACACGCCCAGGGAAATGCTGATCACCACTTTGAGGACAGGAAGCAGTTTTTCTCCAGGCCAGTTTGGCCGGGGACCCTGGAGGGTTTTTGGCCATCTTCTCTGCATGGAGCAGAGGTCACTGTGTGTGTGTGTGTGTGGGGGGGAGGTATTTGTGAATTTCCTGCATCGTACAGGGGTTTGGACTAGATGACCCTGGAGATCCCTTCCAACTCTATGATTCTATGATCTGGGATATCACAGATGGAACTCTCCCTTTATTCCCATTTTTGCCTTCCTGGAGGCTGCCCTCAGATACCGGCAGTAGCTTGATTCTCTGTGCTGATTGAACCAATGGTTGAAAGGATGCATTCTGAATTGAGTCGGGCGGGGGGGGGGGGTAGTAGATGTGGAAGCATTTGCCCAGGGACCTGTGGGCTTTTAAGGCTGCATCGTGTCCTCTAACCCAAGCAAAAGGAGCTTGCCTGTGAGATGCACGTCTGTCTTGTGACCTGAAACGGGCTTAAGTGTTCTTTCCCACTGAGGAGCACACACATTGTGATATGAAACCAATAGTCAGGAAGGGGTCCCGGCCTCCGTTGCTCTCTGCTTTGATACATGAGCTTGTGCATCCAGTTACTGCATCTTCTCCTGCAAAAAAAAAAAGAAACCCTGATGATGTTCTCAAACTTGCCGTGCATGTGAGACAGCTATGCGGATGGGCAATATTGCGTTGACCCTTGGGCGTTTGCATGCCATCTCATGCCGTCGTTTTAAATGGGGTTTCCTCTTTGAACCGAAGCCTGTTTTCCCAAGAGCTGGGTTCTCATTGCTTCTGTTTTTGCAGGAGTCTGCTGCTGCTGTGCTGCCTTGCGGCCTCGTTACAAGCGCCTGGTGGATAACATATTCCCCGAGGATCCTAAAGTAAGCACCTGCAAATGCCTCTTCGGAACTTGTTGCCTATCACATTTATAGTCTGACTTTTCCTCCAAGGAGTTCAGGGCAGCGGCTGTGGTGTTTTGCTTCCGTATTTTACCTCACAAAAATAAGGAGTTTCAAAAACGTGTCCCCTGCCACAGATTTTGTTAGTCTTTAAGGTGGTCTGGACTCTTGCTCTTTGTATCTGAAGAGGTGAGCAGTGACTCTCGAAAGCTCCTCCCCTGCCACAAATTTTCTAAGTCTTTCAGGTGCTCCTGGACTCTGGCTCTTTGCTGCCTGCAGACAGACTAACACGGCCACCCATCTTGATATTTGTCCATGGAAGGCACCCCATTTAGCCATACGGAATGGAAATCCATCAACCTTTTGCTATAAGGACACATGGACTCACATTCTAGCTGCATCTGAAGAAGTGAGCCGTGACTCCCGGAAGCTCCTACCCAAATTTTGTTAGTCTTTAAGGGTGCTGCTGGGCTCTTGCTCTTTTCTGCGCTACAGACTGACTGACATGGCTACCCATCTTGAACAGTATAGGGAAGCAGGGTATGCCTGGTCTGAGGTCACTCAACGCGCTTCACGGTTGAACAAGGGTTTGAACCAGGGTGATTGGCCTAGTCAGAACTCTTAATTACTGCACCACTTGGCTTAAGGCCCCTCACAACAGATGTCGCAGCTTTCAGATTCTCGTTTCCTGGGTACTCAAAAGTGATAGAGGCGTGACGGTTGCATTTCAGCAATAAATTCACAGTCGCTTATTTACATTCTTATGCATGTAAAACTTTACTTCCTGCTTAAGCGAGTTTCTTTGGGCTCTCAAGGCAGCTTGCAACAGAAATCATTAGTACAGAGCAAAAAGTTTAAAAACCGTCTGAAAGCCCAATCGGCATGCAAAATAATCCTGATACCAACAGCCAAATTGAGCATTGGTAAATTAAAACCAGCTCTCTCTATGCTTCTAAAATCCCAGCATGGTGTAGCATAGGGGTTAAGAGCGGTGGACTCTAATCTGGAGGGCTGGGCTTGATTCTCCAGACCTCCTCCATGTGACGCCTGCTGGGTGACCTTGGGCCAGTCCCAGTTCTCTCAGAACTCTCTCAGCCCCACTTGGAAGAGAAGAAGAGGATGGATTTGGCTTACAATCTCCTTCCCTTCTTCTCTCCACATCAGAAACCCTGTGAGGTAGGTGGGGCTGAGCGAGCTCTTTGAGAACTGTTCTTGAGAGAACACCTCTGAGAGAACTTTGACTGACCCAGGGTCACCCAGCAGCTGAATGTGGAGGAGTGGAGAATCAAACCTGGTTCTCAAGATTTGAGTCCGCCGCTCTTAACCACTACACCAAACTGGCTCTCACCTCTCACAAGGTGCCTGTTTTGGGGAGAAGGGAAGGCGATTATCAGTCGCTTTGAGACTCCTTAAGGAAGAGAAAAATGGGGTATAAAAGCCAACTCTTCTTCAAAGAAGGTCATTACAGACCTTTTGAAGGGAATCAGCTCAGTGAGAGTTTCAGATAAAGGGAACCATGGCTGAGGAGAAGCCCTTAACTACCTGTCTCTGTGCACAGAGCAGGAGACTCTGCCATACTAGCAGGGCTCATTTCGTAGAAAAAGAGGTGCAGGAGCTCATTAGCATAACTCATTTGCATATGCCACACCCCCTGACATCACCGGAAGTGTGTCAGAAGGCAACACCCACCGCTCAGGCTCCACTGGACTGTTTCAGATTGCTAGCTATTGGGGGGGGGGGGACATGCAGGTCTGTCCTCGCAGAGGAGGGAGAGCTCGTACCTGAATAAAACTTGGTCTTAAAGGTGTCACTGGACTGTTTTGGACTGGGGGGGGGGGAGCTCTGCAACTTACCTGGCTGCTTCTTGCTCTGACTGAGGGCTGCTGGGAGCAGGGGGTGGGGCTTGTTGCATGTGCCCACCCCCTGGGCTCTTTACTGCCGGAGCTCCGCTCCTGTGTGCTCCTGCAGGAAAGGACCCCTGCATACTAGTATATATATTTTTTAATTTGGTAGCCCTTCCTGCTGTACTTCTAAAGCGCAGGACCAGCCAGGTCATCCCTTTTTTTAAAAAAGTTGTAAATGTAAGTCTCCTCCCTCAACTGCAGCAGTGATCCACCTTTCCGTGGACTCCTTACCTCCATTGTTAAAATGGGCCTTGCATTTAGGAAGGTTGATTGAACGGCAGGACCATGAATACAGGGCCACGTGAAGCTGCCTTCTACGGAGTCAGGCGGTTGGCCTATGCAAGGCCAGTATGGTCTAATCTGAGTGGCGGCAGCTCTCTGGGGTCTCCGGCAGAGGCCTTTCACATCCGATGTTACCTGGTCCTTTTCCTGGGAGATGGCAGGGATTGAACCTGGGACCTTCTGTATGTGAATGCTCTACTGCTAAGCCATGGTCCCTCCCTAAGCCTGGGGGAAAACACCAGCATTCCTAATTCCTTAGGTGTGCTTTTGTTAGCGTTTTCTACAGCTGGATCCAGATGTTGTTCGATATGGAGCCATTTTAGTCATTTTCTAGACAGAAACGTCCAGGAGGAGAAAGGTTACAATGGCACCAATTCCAGCGACGTGTGTCTCACTTGTTCTTTGTGCTACTGGTAGGATGGTAAACAATCATGCTTCATCAGTGTCCTGAACTAAAAGACCAAGCCACTTGCAATTTTATACCACACGAAGGCCTTTGTTTGTGGAGGAAGGCCCCGAAAAGGGGAGTTGAGGAAACTGGATTAAGAATACTGATTTCTCTGGTGATAGCAAGAATTTTAATTGCTAAAAAATGGAGAGAACGAACAGGTCCTACAGTACATATGCGGCAAAACAAACTATGGGAATACTTTCTTTTAAGCAAACTAGTGAATTACACAATAGATACTAATTTGTCAAATTGCCAAACAACATTTCAAGCTTTTTGGTTTCCTGTAATTACTTATGTAGTAGACCAAAACATAATTCCTGATAATTCACATTACCAAGACCTGTTATATTTTCAAAAGTAATAATGTTTAATCTGTATTTAGAACTTTTTGCTTTGCTTTATTGTTGACAACAAGAAGCATTTTGCTTACCTGTGTATGAAAAAGATGAAACTTTCGATACTGTATATATACAGACTGGAACTGTTGTTATTGTGTTTGTTGATAAAACAATAAAATTATATATTTTTTAAAAAGAATACTGATTTCTGCAATGCGATTAAACATTATTTTCTGTGATTCCCATCTGCTTTAGGATGGCCTCGTCAAAGCAGACATGGAGAAGCTGACCTTCTACGCCGTCTCTGCCCCAGAGAAGCTGGACCGGATCGGGGCTTATTTAGCAGAGAAGCTGAGCAGGGATGTCATCAGGCACCGCTACGGGTAAGGACAAAATGGCTCTCGTGCCCGCTTCAGAATTTGTGTCCCGTTTTTAGTCTTGCAGAGCTGGACGTTCTGTCTAGTGGGGGAAAGCTTGTGACAGGCAAGAGTCTCCCCTGGCTGAGGATTTTAAAAATTCATTTTTAGGCATGCCACAAATAGGCAGATGTGTGCAGACTGGATAGTAAAAATGTCTGAGACTAGTAACTCCACTTGGCTATTTCCATGGCTGGTTTAAAGGGGAACTGGTTGGCCCCTGTGTGAGACAGGATGCTGGACTAGATGGACCCTCACTGGTCTGATCGGGCAGGGCTGTTCTGTTTCTTATCAGAGGAAGGCCTCGGCCTCTCTGCCCTATCGCTGACCCTCCAGAGGAACTGGCTGGCCCCTGTGTGAGACAGGATGCTGGACTAGATGGACCCTCACTGGTCTGATCGGGCAGGGCTGTTCTGTTTCTTATCAGAGGAAGGCCTCGGCCTCTCTGCCCTATCGCTGACCCTCCAGAGGAACTGGCTGGCCCCTGTGTGAGACAGGATGCTGGACTAGATGGACCCTCACTGGTCTGATCGGGCAGGGCTGTTCTGTTTCTTATCAGAGGAAGGCCTCGGCCTCTCTGCCCTATCGCTGACCCTCCAGAGGAACTGGCTGGCCCCTGTGTGAGACAGGATGCTGGACTAGATGGACCCTCACTGGTCTGATCGGGCAGGGCTGTTCTGTTTCTTATCAGAGGAAGGCCTCGGCCTCTCTGCCCTATCGCTGACCCTCCAGAGGAACTGGCTGGCCCCTGTGTGAGACAGGATGCTGGACTAGATGGACCCTCACTGGTCTGATCGGGCAGGGCTGTTCTGTTTCTTATCAGAGGAAGGCCTCGGCCTCTCTGCCCTATCGCTGACCCTCCAGAGGAACTGGCTGGCCCCTGTGTGAGACAGGATGCTGGACTAGATGGACCCTCACTGGTCTGATCGGGCAGGGCTGTTCTGTTTCTTATCAGAGGAAGGCCTCGGCCTCTCTGCCCTATCGCTGACCCTCCAGAGGAACTGGCTGGCCCCTGTGTGAGACAGGATGCTGGACTAGATGGACCCTCACTGGTCTGATCGGGCAGGGCTGTTCTGTTTCTTATCAGAGGAAGGCCTCGGCCTCTCTGCCCTATCGCTGACCCTCCAGAGGAACTGGCTGGCCCCTGTGTGAGACAGGATGCTGGACTAGATGGACCCTCACTGGTCTGATCTAGCAGGGCTCTTCTTGTGTTCATAATGAGGCTCATTTATTTCTGCCCGTTTTTCATTTGCCCCCAGGTACGTGTTCATTGCCATGGAAGCCCTGGACCAGCTCCTAATGGCCTGCCATTCCCAAAGCATCAAGCCATTTGTCGAGAGCTTTCTCCACATGGTAGCCAAGCTGCTGGAGTCTGGAGAGCCCAGGCTGCAAGTCTTGGGTACCAATTCGGTGAGTGAACCTTGTGCCCTTGCGCCTCCCTGTTAGGTTCTGCAGCAGCCTCGAATCTGTTCAGGCTTCAGGGGAACAGCAGAAAACTTGAGGCAAAGAGGTAGGGTCACCAGCCACGCCCAGTGCTCCGTGTAATCTAGAGGCCAAGCCCCTGAGGGCTTCTGTGGAGCGTAAGAGTGAGAATCGGACACCGCACAGTGCAGATTCACTTGCCTTATGGAAGGGAGTGGTGTAAGGCAGCCTCGATTTCTTTGTCGAGTGGCAGATGTGATGCTCTGGTCACTCAAGATGTCTTTAAACCTTCTGACCCATAGAGTCTCTGTTGTGTGAGTAATATATAGATTTCTAGAATTTAAGGCAAGCACTGTGTTGTTCATGCCACCAAACTGGCCAAGTTACCCCTCTGAATGGACTTGGGAATTTATCGTGAATTGGAAATTTATCACAGAATGATAAAAGGGTTGGGACACTTTACCTATGAAGAAAGGTTAAGCGCTTGGGGCTCTTTAGCTTGGAGAAACGACGGCTGAGGGGGTGACATGATCGAGGTTTATAAGATTATGCATGGGATAGAGCAGGTGGAGAAAGAGGTACTTTTCTCCCTTTCTCACAATGCAAGAACTCGTGGGCACTCCATGAAACTGCTGAGCGGTCGGGTTAGAACGGATAAAAGGAAGTCCTTCTTCACCCAGAGAGTGATTAACACGTGGAATTCACTGCCACAGGAGGTGGTGGCGGCTACAAGCATGGACGGCTTCAAAAGGGAATTAAGATAAGCATATGGAGCAGAGGTCCATCAGTGGCTATTAGCCACAAGGTATAGGTAGGATCTCTCAGTCTGGGGGTAGGGCTTGGTGCTTGGGGGGGCGGGCAACAGTTGGAGGGCTTCCAGTGTTCTGGACCCCCTGATGGCACCTGGTATTTTTGTCCACCGTGTGACAGAGTGTTGGACTCGATGGGCCATTGGCCTGATCCAGCATTGGCTTCTCTTATGCTCTTATGTTCTTACCGTGCCCTTCTTAGAAATAAGGCTGCTGATGAGAAAAGTAATATTTAGATGTATTCTGAGTTGTTACAGAGTGAAAGCACGAGCAGTGGGCGCAGGTGGGAGGGAGAGCCCTTGCTCTTCTAGTGGGTTAAAGAAGGCCCCCACGGCACCGTTGACCAGCGCACTAAGGACTGCCTGGGGGAAGGGGAGGAAGGATCTGGCCTCCCATAACACTTCTGGAATATGTGGCTGAGCCACGGGCCATATGTAGTGTGGACGCAGGGATAAAGGATTTCTGGACAGAGGACAGACCTCCATTTTGGCCAACATGACGTCTGGCAGTGCCTCTTAAATCATGGGCGAATCACTCAAGAAGCCTTGGGAGAACAGTGGGACCGGATGCTGGGGGCAGCGCAGCTCTGTGGGCATCCCCTGACATTAGCACATCACGAAAATATTGTCCTTCTCGAAAGTGTTAGAGCTATCTGAGCTCTTCCACTAAAAACATGGGGGGGCCCCCCCAGGAACAGACCTTTGTAAATTATCAAGGAAAATGGCTGGTACCAACACGAAGGAATTTAACTAGCAGGGCCCCCCCCCCCCCCCCCCCCCTTTCCCATGGGAAATTGTTAATCACTCTTTGGGTGAAGAAGTACTTCCTTTTATCCGTTCTAACCCGACCGCTCTGCAGTTTCATGGAGTGCCCACGAGTTCTTGTATTGTGAGCAAGGGAGAAAAGTACCTCTTTCTCCACCTGCTCTTTCCCATGCATAATCTTATAAACCTCGATCATGTCACCCCTCAGTCGTCGTTTCTCCAAGCTAAAGAGCCCCAAGCGCCTTAACCTTTCCTCATAGGGAAAGTGTTCCAACCCTTTTATCACTCGAGTTGCCCTTTTCTGCACTTTTTCCAAAGCTCAACATGACGTCTGGCAGTGCCTCTTAAATCATGGGCGAATCACTCAAGAGGCCTCGGGAGAACGGTGGGACAGGATGCTGGGGGCAGCGCAACTCTGTGGGCATCCCCTGACATTAGCCACATCAAGAAAATATTGTCCTTCTCGAAAGTTTTAGATCTATCTGAGCTCTTCCACTAAAGACATTGGGGGGGGGCAGGAACAAACCTTTGTAAATTATCAGGGAAAATGGCTGGTACCAACACGAAGGAATTTAACTAGCAGGCGCCCCCCCCCCTCTGAGCCAACATGGCTTTTCTTATGGTCTCATATCTGGGGCAGTGATGCTGTGTCTTCTTGGTGTTTGGGGGGCCACAGGGGGGGCTTCTGGAGTTCTGGCCCCGCCGGTGGGCCTCCTGATGGCACCTGGGTTTTGGCCACTGTGTGACACAGAACAATGTTGGACTGGATGGGCCACTGGCCTGATCCAACACTGGCTTCTCTTATGATCTTATGTCTGGGGCAGTGATGCTCTGTCTTCTTGGTGCTTGGGGGGCAAGAGTGGGAGGGCTTCTGGAGTTCTGGCCCCGCCGGTGGGCCTCCTGAAGGCACCTGGGTTTTGGCCACTGTGTGACACAGAGTGTTGGACTGGATGATAGGCCAATGGCCTGATCCAACATGGCTTCTGTTTATGTTCTTCTATTCTCCCTCTGTGTTCCTTGTCTTTGGGCATTATTCTCATTCTGAGGTTTGTGGGGGAAGCCACTGATAAGCCCCGGCATGTCCCCCAGAAGCCCACAGAAATGTGAACTCGCTAGTCTGTCAACAAATAGGCCAGCAGCAGCCATTTGTGGGGTGCTGAGAGCCTTCCGGGAAATGGCTCCTTTCCCCTCTGTAGAAGCTCTTCTGGCTGCTCACTAAGGGTATTTTTTACTTGCCAGAGGGTAATGGCCTTTTGCGAGCTTGGCGTAAACTCCCTTGCACACGCTCCCGTTTGTCACCAGCCTGCTTTTGAAAATGCTTATTAAAAGCAGCCTCTTCTTAATAGGGGGCCGATCGGAATGTCAGCTGTTGTTGTAACCTTCTCTGCGGCTGCACTGGTTCGCTGAACTCCCATTTGGTGTCTGAACAGCTGAGCTTTTTGAAAACAATGGTGAAAGGAAGGATCTTTTGGCTTCCTTTTAAACTGATATTCCTGGTCATGTCTGGGACTGCGAAAGTGTCATGCAAGTAATGAGATGTTTGGGAATTTTGGGCACAGAAGCTCTCTTTCCACCTCCATAACTGGTAAGCCTCTGAATACTAGTGCTAGGAGGCAGCATTGGGGCTCCATGCCCTAGTTGCTTGGCCCTCCAGGGCAACTTAGTTAGCCACTGTGTGAACCAGGATGCTGGGCTAGACAGAAAGACCTCTGGTCAGCTCCAACAGGGATCTTCATATGTTGTGAACAGGATACAGCAACATAAACAGTTGGAAGGGGAAGGAAACAAGAATTGCTTGTCTTATACAACTTCTGTGTTACCTTTTGTGGAGTGGACTATATGTGTGCGTTCACAGGTCTGCCCCAGCCTGGAAATGTGTCGCTTTAGGTGGCTGAATTCCCTCTCCCACTGTGGTGTTACTATGGCTGAATGGTCAGGGCTATGTCAAAATGTGTGGCTCTTCCTACTTCTGGTGTAGCAAGACTTCATTTGCATAGTGAGGAACTAGTAAAATTCAAAGTACTTAGAAAGTAGAATGATGCACATTTATACACTTTAGGATAGAAAGATGCCAGGCAATTAGTGCAGTGGTCAAATCTGATGCCTTCAGGATTAGTTCCGGATGGAGACCACGTCTCTGGCTTACATGGTCACCACCCAGGATGGATCAGGTATTTATTAATTTGTTAGATTTTTTTTAGTCTCCGCTCCCCCGAAATGTCTTGTGTGGCGACTTACAACATTAAAACCAATAAGGTAAAACAACATAAAAACAAGTAACAAATATAAAATATTAACATTAAATTGTTAAATTATTGAAGAAGAAGAGATTGGATTTATACCCCACCCTTCACTCGGAGTCTCACAGCAGCTTACAAACTCCTTCCCCTTCCCCTTCCCACAACAGACACCCTGTGAAGTAGGTAGGGCTGAGAGAGCTCTGACAGAAACTACCTTTTCAAGGACAGCTCTGACAGAACTATGGCTTGCCCAAGGTCATCCAGCAGCTGCAAGTGGAGGAGTGGGGAATCAAACCCGGTTCTCCCAGATTAGAGTCCGCGCACCAAACCACTACACCAAATTCCTTGCTGCACGAAGAACTCACCTTTCTGTGACTCCGCAGCAGGGTACAGCTACTTTCCCTTTGCCCGTCTCTCTTGTTCCAGCACGTACGTCACGATACCAGGCTCTGGGACAAAATCATCTCTCTTGGGTTGAAAAACAGGACTGGACTGGACGTTATACCAACCCCAGTGTACCAGCGCAAGGCCAGTTCCCATAACAATCAGAAGTCTGTAGTTCTTCCAAATGGTTTTAAGGCCCATAATGTGCTGCCAACCTACCTATATAAAGACAGTGGAGAATTTTAAATACGTTCTGTTAAAGAGCACCGAACATCCTTTCATGATCTGGGCTGTGCAGGCAAAGGCCTAGCAGGCCCAGGGAGCCTGACTAGCAGTGGGAGGAGGCCTGGCCTACAACTCCCAGAAGCCCCTGAGAGGTTCTGGCGCCCATTTTTGCCCATCACAGAGAAAGGGGACTTATAACAAAAGAGCTGGCACGGAAGAAGAGCTGGTTCTTCCTTCCAAGAGAGCAGGGCCCTCTAGAGGGAAGGCTGCTGCTGGGAGAGACCCTCACCCCGAGAGGAAGGGTGAGCAGACTCAGGCCCCACTGAGACAGTGGACTAGGGGCTGTGAGTCTAGTCGCGTTAGGGCATTTGGTTTCTTTTCCCTTCACCCACTTACTGTAGTTGTTCTTGCACTTTGCTTATTTCCCATATTGGGCTGACCTCCTGTAAAATGAACCTTTTATTTGTTGTTACTCTGCCTAGTCCTCATGCCTATTGTTTGGCCACATAAGGGAGGTCCGAAGGTTCTTGGAAGGGTCCTCTGGGCCTTCTCCCTAGGGCCAAGGCCTTCTCGGTGGCGGCTCCTACCTGGTGGAACGAGCTCCTGGAGGAGATCATGGCCCTGTGGGATCTTGCACAGTTCCGCAGGGCCTGCAAGACGGAGCTCTTCCGCCAGGCTTTCGAGTAGGAGCCGCCACTACCACCACCACCACCACCACCGAGTTTGGAAACAGCGGGGTATGGGAGTGGCCCTGTGACGATCGAACTGCAGCACTATGGCGTGTGGATAGCACTGAGTTGAGATCTGACTGAATATCCTCCGGATACCATCCTTAAATTGAAGACCATCACCTGCGACCATCTTGAAGCACTTTATTTTGTAAATATTGTAATTTGTGTGTTTTTATCTTGTATCTGGCATGCATGCCCTGATGTTAGCCGCCCTGAGCCCGCTTGTGGGGAGGGCGGCTTAGACATCGAATGATAAATAAAATAAATAAAAATTCTCAAGGGATCCTAAAACCAGAGTGGTGGCAGCGCCAGGTGACACCCCACCTGAGCCGTGGCAGGGGGAATAAGAGCCAAAGTCCCGTGTTGCCTTTTCTGAACGTGCCCAAAAGCGAAGACCTCTTCTCTCGTTGCCCTGCTGCCTCCAGCTTCTCAAAATTGCTGGCGGCTGAGTCGAGGGGAACTCTCTGCTACCCCCCCCCCCCGCGGCGTCACGCAAAAGGAAGTTCTTGAGCTGCCGTTGACGTTCCCAGCCCCGCTGCCTGTTGACAGAGCAAACCCCCCCACACACCACAGGCCTTCTGCCGCTCTGTTCCTTCCTCGCCTGAGAATGTCACTGCTTCCCTCGCCAGGATCCGGATTGCCGGCATCCGGGGCATCCAGGGGGTGGTTCGCAAGACTGTGAACGACGAGCTCAGAGCCACCATCTGGGAGCCTCAGCACATGGACAAGATTGTTCCCTCGCTGCTGTATAACATGCAGAAGACAGAAGATGCCGACAGGTACGTGTCTCTCTCTCTCTCTCTCTCCCTGTCTTCTAATGTTGCCTTGCCGTCACCCTAGGAGCTAAGCGGCATGCACGAGGGAGAGGGGGAGGAAGCGGCAGGAGAGACGGGCGGGTATCGAGCTCTGCTTTCGGGGCCGGGACTGCCTGCCTCCTCAAGATGTGTGCTTGTTCCAGCCGGATCGGGCCGCCCTCCTCTCCGACAGGGGGCGATAAAGAGGAGAACCCGGCTGTCCTGGCGGAGAACTGCTTCAGAGAGCTGCTGGCCCGGGCGACCTACGGGAACATGAACAATGCCGTCAAACCAGTCTTTGCGTGAGTAGCAGCATCCCTCGCGTGCAACCGCGGTCCCGGATTAGGCCCGGGGCAGGGAATGCCGTCGGACTGGCTGGCGACACTCTCCCCAGATTGGCTTTGTTCCGGCCGCTGAAATTTTTTCAGTGTTCCTCCAGGCGGTTGGGATTTTCTGTATCGCTCTGCGGCTCTCAGCATTTGCAGTCTTGGAAAGAATCTTGAAGAGTCGTTGATGCCAAAGAGTGGAATCACGGTGTGTGTGTGTGTGTGTGTGTGTGTGTGTGTGTGTAGAATGTGGACTGGGGCAGAGGAGAAGCGGCATCCAAACCTCATTCGGAAGTGAGGCTTACAGGCAATGTTCCCTCTAAGCTGTGGAGTCTTGTGAGCAAAAATTCTACTTTGTGAGCTACTGGCATTCAAGTTGTGAGAGGGCGATTTGGCTGCTGCATCAATTAGTTTGCTCTGGAGCCCTCCTTCCTGAGCAAAGACAAAAATGTGTGAGCCGGAGGCTAAAAAACTGTGAGCTAGCTCACACTAACTCAACTTAGAGGGAACACTGCTTACAGGGTAGCTTTCGACCGCTTCCTCCCGGAGATGATTTTGTTGCAGTGAGGCATCTGCTTGGCAGTTTCCCCTTGCCCCGTACTTGTCTTCTGCGGCCATCATTGTTTTTCCGCCACAGTGTGCCCTGAGAAGACTTTCAAAACCTTTTTGTTAAAAAAAATCAGCAATAGACATATCACTATATTCTTGTCATGTTATAAGGATCTATCTCAAGGGTCCCCAACATGATGCCCCCGGGCGCCATGATGCCTACCGACACCTTCCCTGGTGCCCGCCAAGCGTTTTTAGAAAG